TGAGCAGAGATACAATATGGTCAGGCCTGAATTTAGGATCACAGGGTCACTGATACAGTGCTGAAAGGACCTCGGATACCTCATTTTTAGATTTCCAGCTGTGGACAGATTAGAGAGATGGGTCATAGGTACATAAACTTAGAATGAGAAGGGACCCTAGAGGTCAAAGACTTCAATACCCTTGTTTTAAGGATGAAAAAACTGAGGCTAAAAGAAATTAATCAATACGTTTTCTCACTATTTAAGTAGTGACAGAGGTGGGATTGGAACTTGGGTGCTCTGATCCCAAATAAATAATAATAGCTAGGATTTCTACAAGGTTTTAAGTTTACAAAATACTTTACAAATATCTCATTCTATCCTTAGAGGAATCCTAGTAGGTAGGTGCTATTATTGTCTACATTTTAGATGCACAAACTAAGGCAGACAGAGGTTAAGTGACTTGTCCAAGGTTACAGAGCTACTATGTGTCTCAGACCAGATTTGTACTGAAGTCTTTCTAATTCAAGGTCCAGTATTTTATTCCAGAACCACCTAGCTAAAGGCAATCCTCTCCACTAGCTGCTGCCTTTCAGAGAAGAAAGAGAATGGATTCAGGAAAATCAATTAGGACTGGATTATTTGCCAAAATTGTTAGCTGTTTCCTCACCAAGGCTCTAAAGATAAGCTTTCACTATTCAGTTCAACTCTAACTTTTAATGTTTCTTAAATCCCTCCTGTTTGTTAAACTCTATTCTAGTCGTGTCAGACTTGTGACCCCATTTGGGGTTTTCTTGGCAAAGACACTAGAGAAGTTTGCCATTTTATAGCTAATTTTACAGATAAGGAAAGGGTTAAGTGACTTGTCCAACTGGTGTTTGAAGTCGAATTTGAGCTCAGGTCTACCTAACTCCAGGCTTGGCACTCTATTCACTTCACTACTTAGCTGCCCCAAATTCTATCCTGGATACTTTGAAACATCCAATTAAATAGCAATACCTCCCTCAAGGAATTTGCAATCCAGTATCGGAGCTAGCTATCTACAAAAACAATAATTTTTTTGGACATGTTCAATGCTGAAATTTGTTCCATGTTTATAATGGTTCTCTTTCTCAACTGGCTTGGGGAGAAGGGTGAAGAATGGAAGAGAAAGTTGATTTTCATTGATTGTAAAAACAAAATATTAATTTTTTAAAATCTAATATTAACATTACAAAATTGTAAGAAATGTTGATTTTTCCACTTTAAAAATTCAGCTTTCCAGTCAAACTAGACTATTTGCTATACATAGTATTCTATCTAGTGCCTCCATTGCTTTTACCATGCGTAGAACATACTCTTTCCTCACTTCTACCCTTATGAATCTTTAGCTTCCTTCAAGTATCACCCCCTACATAGGCTTTCCATGATCCCCAGTTATTAGTACTGTCACCCAGAAAAATTACTTTGTGTTTTTTTTTGCAATTACTAATCTGTGTTTCTCCAATCTCTCCTCCTAGTTGAATATAAACTCTTTCACGGCAAAGATGGGGTTTTTTTTCTGGTCTCACCATACCTAGACTGCACTCAGCTGGCACTTAATAAATGCTTTTTTAAATTGAATTTAAATAAATGCTATGCAAAGGAAAGATTACTATAATCATTACAAAAGGGAGGAGCTTGAGACACAGTCTAAGGACAAAAGGCAGAAAAAGCAGGGGCCTTGAGGGGGAGGCAAATGTGGGTGGTGTTGGGGTCCCAGAGCAGGATCAAAGGATTTAATTCTGGGTGGGGCCGTAGAAATGATCTCCAGTCTTGGCTTCTTAACCTTTTTGTGGGTCATAAACCCCTTTAGCTATCATGTGAAACCTATAAACCTTTTCTCAGAATATTTTTAAATATATAAAACACAAAGGATTACAAAGGAAAGCAATTATTTTAAATACAATTTTTTTTTAAAAAGTAAATGTCATGGACCCCAGGCTAAAACCCTCTCATTGTCTAACCCAGTGGGGCCAAACTCAAAACAAAAGGGGTGCCACTAAATCCTACATAAGGATGCCTTCAGGTACTGACTTACAAAAACCATGCATTAACATTGTCTATGTTCTATTGCATTCTTATTTAGTTAAATATCTCCCAATTACATTTTAATCTGGTCCTAGAACTTCTCACAGAGCTGTAGCAGGAGGCATCTGCCCCATTTGGCTGCTTGTTAGATACGCATGGTCTCACACCTTTATTTAAAAAATAAGAAAATAGGCTAAGATGAAGTGGATCGCTTAAACGGCAGCCAACTTCTGAAAGCTTTTCAGAGAGTACTTGTTGAATGAGGAAGGTTATCATGAGATTGCAATGTGGTGTGGTGGTTAGAAAGCCTACTTCTATTGGGAAGATCTGCAAGCAAATCATAGGATTTAAAACTAGAAGATTTAAACTAGTAGGAGATTTAAAGACCAAATGCCCTTGATGAGGGTGGGATCTAGACCCCAAAAAGGAAAAACCCTGGACTTTTCTACTAGGGCAATGCCAGACTGAGGCTATAATCCCATCAAATGGTTTTTCATTGTGGCTACACCCAAACTCCCAATTCTCTTTTACCTTTAACCTAGCCTAGCCCTCCACTGTCTTATCTCCTCATGGCTCCTGGCCATTTCCCACCCTTAATACTAGCTAGGTTTCATTCTCCAGTGGCCACGTGGTCCAGGTCTCAGGTGTTCTGTTCACCCCAGTTTACTGTCCACTCCCATCCAGATCCTCCTTAGACCCCTCCTCCAGTCACCCCAAACTACTTGGCTACTCCTAAATCCCTCCCACTCCTATATCTAAGGTCCCTCTTGTCTCTATTAAAGTGCTCAGATTCTTAAAATCTAGCCAATAGCTCACAGATGCTCAGACAGCTTAAGAGTCTGCCCAATATGATGGATGTTCTAATGAACCTTGTCTCTGGCTGAAAGAAGAGTCGGACCCGTGTCTCTTGCTCTTGATATTTTGGGGTCCCAGCACCCCTAAGCCCCCAAATCTCAACACCCTCATTTTACAGATAAAGGAACTGAGACCCAGAGAGGCGAAGTGACTTGCTTAGGATCACACAGTTAGTATCTTATGATTCTGGATCTACTTGAGATGTTGTTCAGTTATTTCAGTCCCATGTGACTCTTTGTGACCACATTTGGGGTTTTCTTGGCAAATTTGAGTGGCTTGCCATTCCCTTCTCCAGCTCATTTTACAGAAGAAGAAACTGAGGCAAACAGGGTTAAGTGACTTGCCCAAGGTCACATAGCTAGCAAGTATCTGAGGCAGGATTTGAACTCAGGAAGATAAGTCTTTCTGATGCCAGGCCCAGAGTTCTATCCACTGGGCCAGATCTCTCTTGACTCCAAATCCATTGCCCTATCTACTACACCACCTACTGATTCTGACTCTTTCATAATCTGACTCCAAACTAAATTTCTGACCTAATCATACATTACTCCCCATCATGCACTCTTCTTTCCAGCTAAACTGGCCTATATGCTCTTCTTCATATACTGAAATTATATCTTCTGTCTCCATGCCTCGGCACTGCCTGTTGCTGTAAGGCCTAGAATGCCCTCCCTTCTTACTTTTGCTTCTTGGAATCCTTACCTTTCTTCCAAAGCTCAGTTCAAGAACTACCTACTAACACTAGACATTTACAGATCTCCACAGTTGCTAGTGTCTACCCCTACCTACCAAATTATCTTGTATTTATTTTGTAATCAATTTATTTATTAAGTGCCTACTATGTGCCAAGCACTGTGCTAAGGCTGGGGATACAAAGAAAGACAAAAGACAGTCCCTGCTCTCAGGAGTTTACAACCTAATGGGAGAGAGACAACAGGCAAATAATTACAAACAAGATATATACAGGACAAAATGGAGATAATCAACAGAGCAAAGGTACTTGCATTAAAGAGGATGAAGAAAGGCTTCTTGGAGAAGGTAGGCCTTAAGGAAGGCAGATAATCAAGGGGGCAGAGATGAAGAGGGGTAGAGTTCCAGGCCTAGGAGACAGTCAGTGATTTTATATTTGATCCTGTAGGCAAAGGGAATCACTGTAGTTGATTAAATAAAAGCGAAGGAGAGGTGAGGGTGAAGGGGTGACTGTCAGACCTTAGCTTTAGAAAAATCAATTTGACTGCTGAGGAGGAGATGGACTTGGAGTGGGGAGATACTTGAGGAAGGCTGACCAACCCGACGCAATTGCAATAGTCCAGGCATGAGGTGATAAAGACCTGCACCAGGGTGGTGGCAATGTCAGAGAATAGAAGGGGACATATATGAGAGAAGTTACAAAGGTAGAAATGACAAGACTTGACAAGCATTTCCAGAACGGAGTTCGGGATGGCTGAGAGATTGTAAGCTCAGATGCCTGGGAGGGTACCTCTCGACAGTAATGGGGAAATCAGGAAGTGGAAAACGTTTGGGGAAAAGATGAGTTCAGTTTTGGACACGCTGAGAATAAAATGTCTCAGAGACATCAAGTTCCAGATATATACTGGGTGTCTTAAAAAGCTGCTAAAGCTTAAAGTGGGCGCTAAGACTTTTGGGACGCCTTGTATTTTACATTCAGATATCAGTGCGGGCGTTCCCCTCGAGAGAATGTTTGTGCCTGGTGTCATAGAGATAGATTGATCTATAGATATCATCCATAAACATACACACGTGTGTGTGTATACATATATACACACACAGATACATATATATACACACACATACATATATATATATATATATATGCATATATATATATATATATAAAATCTCCGCACCCCCAAAGCTAGCACTGTGTACCTGGCACAAAGTAGATGAAGAATAAATACTGTTTCATTCCTTGATTAACAACCTTTCAGTGCCCCTAGACAATTCTTTACAGAGTAACTGCTTAGGTAGGGAGTGTTTTCTAACCAAGAGTGTCCCAGTCCAAGCCAAAGAAATTGTAGCTGCCAACAAAATAACTACCTACTCTTAAATACCATAATAAGCACACTGCTTTATAAGGTATCTGCTTTTTAAAAAGTTTTTTTCTCCAGGACTACCACGTAAACTCTTCCAAGAAATCGGGGAAGACGGGAGACACGAGGGGCAGAGACGCCTCATGTCCAAGGTCTTGCTTCTCCTTGACTTTCAGCGGCCTAAGAGTGTCCCCAACCTCCGAGGCAATGAAGGGCAGAGACTTCTCCCTCCGTCTCAAAGCTGGAGCCGGCTCAGGCAGCGTGTCAAGTTTCCAAAAACTCTCCCGGGGCTTCCGCAGCTCTGGCTTCCGGCCGCCGGTTCGCACGGTTGCTAGGCTCAGTTGCTAGGGTAAGTTGCTAAGGCACCAACAGCCTCGCAGGAAGGATGGGCAGCCGAACTGCGCGCTCCCTTTCACTGTCGTAGTGGATCCCCTCAGCTCCAAGCACGTCCGTTCCGCACGGAAACGTCCAGCTCCTTGCCCGGGCGAAAAGGAGGGCGGCGCGGAGGAAGAAGGGGGTGACTCCGCTCCGCGCGGAGGATTGTGGGAGGAGGTTGTCTCCAGTTTCTCCTCCCCCCCTTTCCCTTCCCCCCCTCCCGGCCAAGATGTCTGACATGGAGGATGATTTCATGTGCGATGATGAGGAGGACTACGACCTGGTGAGGCGCTGGGGACGGGTACCCGGGGCTGGAGGCAGCGCTTGGCTCCCGGGGCGGGCGCGGCCGGGGGCCTCGGCCTCGCCCCCTCAGAGCGCGTCCCCTTTCCAGGCTCTCCGGATGCAGTGACAGGACGAGTTTACCTCCTCCGCCCCCTCCCCGCATCCGGCGCTGGCCCGACTCCCCCGGCCGGCGGGAGGAGGGAGGACGGACGAGGGCTGAGAGGGACGGGGCGCCCGGCGCGGAGGGGCTGCCGGGGGTGGGACGGGCCGCACCCCCGGCCCTCACCCGGCCGGGCCTGCCAACGCCGGTCGGGCCGCGCCGCACTCCGCCCGCTCCCGCGCGCCTGCCCGAGCTTCCTCGGGGCCGGGGCGGCCACCTAGGCCCGAGCGTTGCCCTTTCAGGCCCGGCCCGACCCGGGTCCCTCCGCTCCCCTCCCCCCGGAACTCGCGGGTAGAAGGGACTGGGCAGCGTCGGCCAGGCCAAACCGCGGGTGCCACTTGGGGCATCTTCTCCGGGAAGAGTTGGATCTTTCAGGGTCAGGCTGAATTTGGGGGAGCGGTGCAGGTGGAGAGGTCAGAAGATCGATCCTTCCTCTCCTCTCGACCCCTTAAACAGGGGGAAAATGTATTTACGGAATCCTTTTTTCTCTCAACTTGGATGAAGAAAAAAAGCAGGGAATGTTTTGTTTTTATTTACAAATTTGAAAAAAAAAATCATCGGTCGTCTTTTTTCCTCCCCTTGACTTAAACATTCCAAGGATTCTGAGTAAAAAGTATCTCCGGGGCAGAAAACCTTCAGTTCACCCAGTTGAATTCTTGTAATAACTAGGAAAGACTGAAGAAATAATTTGGGAAAGGTCTGAAATATGAAGTAGAACTTAGTAAAGTTTTAATACAGTTTACTGTTATAAAAGAAAATCAGATTTGGGGAATGAAGAAGAGTTGGAATCCGAAACCTGGGCTACTTTGCCTGTTGATGTATATTACTTGTATGGAGCTTGTTGCACTTTGTTTTCTTAAGTGTTGCTTCACCCTTGTTTTTTAATTGTGAAGTTCTTTAGCACAGTACCTGGGACATAATAGGCGCCTAATAAATGCTTGTGGCCTGATTACCGACTTGTGTGGTTGTACAGGATTTTTTTTTTGCCCACCATATGTGTAAAGTGCAGTGGGTATTTAAGATCTTAATAAAATATTTTAAATTAACGAATGGTTTTCTGTATAGAGATAAAACGTATTTGAAATCAGTATCTTACATTTTTAGAAGGAGCACTTGTGTCAGGGATATGGGACTGCTGTGAAGATGGGTTTGTGAAGTCTTTAAAAGTTATAATTTACTAAGTTTGTAGATATGCTGATACTTGGATAGACGTGTGCATTGATTAATATATATATATATTTGAAAATGTATACTTGGAAAATTATAGATTTAAAACCAGAAGGGACCTTTTAGACCGTCTAGTTCAGTGTTCTCATTTTACTAATGAAGAAACCAAGACCACCCAGGAAAGTTTGATCAAGGTCACACGGAGACAAAGGTTTGAACCTAGATTCTCTTAACTCTAAATCACTTAACAGTACTATACTCCTTCCATCATTGTAGGAAAGCTACTTGCATATTAGTTAAAATAATAGTAATGATAGTAAAATCAGTTCCCTAAGAATTTGTTGCTAGTTCTTTAAATTTAGCTACTTTTTTCTTGGGGGGATGGTGGGAATCTTTACTTTTTATCAGATCTTTTCCTAACTAGAACAAGAGTTCTTAAGACCTTTTTCATGTAGACTCCTTTGGCAATTTGATGAAATTTATGTACCTCTTCTCAGAATAATGTTTTTCATAATTGGAAGAAATTCTAAATTGCAATTAGAAGTTAATGAAAATTAAAATATATTTTTCCCCCATTTAATAAGTTTATGGACCCCTAGTTTAAAAAGCCTGATTTGGAGTGTTTCTCAAATGCTTACTTGCTTCTGTTTATTCTCTTCTACCTGAAAAGGATTTAGAAATAAAAGTTTTTATTCTAGTTCATGGCTCATAATTCTATGGTTAACTTACAGGCAGTTTGAGAATTTGTATAACAATGAGATTACTTTTATTGTCTCTTTAAGTGGCCAAGTCATTTTCAACAACAATTTTGATTAAACATAAGATACTTGAACTTTGCCACATTTTTTTCACTTTGAAATAGAGATCAAAACTAGAATATAAAATATAACAACATTCAATATGTAACTGTGATTTAGGGGGTAAAATTTCAGAATTAGATAGTTTTCTTAACTAATCCTGTATGATAAAATGGAATGCCTTTTTTTTTTCAATCAACAAGTATTAACATCTACTGTGTACCAGGAACTGTGCTAAGTAAAGCACTGTGGATATAAAGATAAAAATATAAAGCACCTGCCCTCTAAGAGCTTATATTCTTAAAGTAGAGGCAATATACATACACACATGTTTGTATATTGCTATTCAGTCATGTCTGATTCATCATGACCTCATTTGGGATTTTCATGGCAAAGATACTGGAGTTATTTGCCATTTCCTTCTCCAGCTCATTTTACAGAGGAGGAAACTGAGGCAAAGAGGGTTACGTGACTTGCCCAGGATCGCCTAGCTAGGAAGTATCTGAGGCCAGATTTGAAATCAGGAAGATTTCTTCCTGACTCTCAGCCCAGCACTCTATCCACTGCACCCATATTTTTTAATATACAGAATATGTACAAAATGATTCCGAGTTTTGGAAGAGAGTTAAACTGTCGGCTACGGTGCATCAGAAAAGGCTCCTTGTTGAAGATGGCACTTGAGCTGAGTATTGAAAGAAACCACCAGCAATTCTAAGAAGTGGAAGTGAGGGGGGACATTCAAGGAATGGTGGTCAGTCCAAAGGTGCAGGAGACTAGAGATGGAACCCCTGTGTGTGTGGAACAGCAAGCAGGCCAATATGAGTGCACTGGAGAATGTGTGGAGGGTGTTAGTGTGTAGAGACTGTAAAAGTGGAAAGGGGCAAAGTTGTGAAGAGCTTTAAGTGCCAAACACAAGTTTGTGATTTTTTAGGTAGTCAGGAGCCACTGGACTTGGCAGACTTGGCACTTGAAGACATGGCAGTGCCAATAATGAATCCTTCAGTTTAAGAAACTCATTTGGGCATCTGTGTGGAGGATGTCTTAGAGGGAGGAGAAGTTTGAGATAGAGAAACTAAGTAAGAGTCTGTTGCAGTAGTCCAGGGGAAAAATGAAGAAAGTAAAATTGACAAGACTTGGCAACTAAGTGGATATGTGAGAGAGAAGGTGATGTAAATACAAGAGTTGGTAACTGATTGTATACATGAGATGAATCAGAGTGTTTCCCTATTTTTATTTAGAGCAGAAGCAGCTCTCAAACTCCAGGTACTATGTTTTATTTAGTCATTTTAGTTGAATTAGCCCATCTATAGCTTTTTCTTTCTCTACATACGCACACCCGTTTTGTTACACCAGTATTCTTACACATTTAGAGAATATAATGTCATATAATATCTGAGAAAGTAGGATCTGTGTTTGTCTGAAACTATCATTATATCACTTATGAAAGTAATCATTGGCATGTATATCTAAGGTCTGAAAGGAATGAAGACAGCCTTAATTAAAAAAAAAATAGGCAGCAAGCCTAGAAGAAATTCAGTATTTTTTATCTCTCCTTTCTAGTATGTTCTTACTTGATTTTCATGGGAGCGTGATATTTGTTGTCAGCTGACACATGTTTTCTTTGCCCCATGATACAAGGAGAAGCAATAGGAGGAAGGGAAAGAAAGGGGCAATAATAAATATGCTTTAGGTTAGTGCAAGCTTTGTATATCTGTAGCTATGTTCCGTACTTAACAACTCTCAATATTTATTACAAAGTTAATTTATGATATTTCTTTTAATTAAAATAATATCATTGGTGAGTTACCTATACTGAAATTTGATTACAAGCTTTCATGATTTAATGAAGTTGCGAGATATTTCCAATACTAAACTATGAAAAGGATTCAGTACAGCTCTGTACTGTACCAAATGTCGTACTGTAGTGAATCATGTAATAAGGTTCTAATGTTGTAGCACAGTACCTGTAAATCATCAGCATTTAAATGTTATGTGCATTTATTTAAATTAAAGTATAGCAACCTAGTAGAATGTTCACTAGTATTCCTTTTCTTGTATGAGATTATTTAGCATGTTTTTCAAAACACTTATTTTTTCACTTTTTAAAAAGTGAGTTGGTGGTCTTATATACTTTATCAGGTGGGGTGAATCTTATGAAAACCAGGTTTCATCTCTGTTGTTAACAATGTCATCACAGAAATTTATTTTTCTGCATATCGGAGATTGATCTCTGTTGTTATAAGGATGTGGTAGATTTTAAATTAGCAGATGGTTTGTTTTGTACTCAGAAGAGTCAGTTTGATGGAAATGGAACACAAGATCATTCTTAAACAGAGAAGTGGCAGAAAAGTTTTAACAAGAGCATATAGTCTATTTCAGGGTAAAAGATTCTTACCATGAACATAAAATGAAAGGCCTTGAATGAGCTACCACAATCCAAGGTAGGAACTTAGAATTATTGTAGTTTCCAAAGGTTAGAGGCCTACTATCTTGCCATAGTCATAAAAGGCCACTTAAGTGTTGGACATCATCAAGAAGGACATTGCAGCAAAACAAAAAATATTATTGTATCCTTATGTAAACATGTGGTGTGGTCATTCTTGAGATGTGTGTGGGATTAAATTTGTATTATTTCAAGAAAGGGTGACTATAAATGTTAAGGTGTGACTGATTTTTTTAAAAAAATAAGTAGGCATACAGAAGGATATTGTTCCCTTCAAAATAATCACATTGGGGGGCACATATTTTAACCTGTCAGTGCTGAGAACAGTTTTTAGAAAACATTTAGAGAGGTAGCATAGTGCAGTGGAAAGGATGCTAGACCTATAGTCTGAAGACCTGGGTTTTATACCCTTAGTTCCGTTACTCCAATAGCTT